ATATTCATTTTTTCAAGCCAACATAAAAATTAAACTACCATTTCACAAAAAAAAATCGGACTCATCTCAATATTAATATTGGGTTATAGGCTTATAGCCATGTTCAACTTGCGCCAAAGTGATATTGGCATGAGTAACAACATCACCATTCCTCGACAACAAATTTTTTGACCCAAGTCCCAACTCAAGATGAAATCTTGTTTTTTTACTGTTCGTACAAGTTACAACATTATTTTCAGGAACCAAATAATTATCTCCAAATTTTAGATTCTAAATATCGCTTGACCATTCTCCTCCTTACCCAAAAGCGATCAGAGATATAATGACAACTAGAGTTTAAAAGGGGCTTTCTTGTTGAGAATAGAATGTAGAAGTCAGTTAGGACTTTCCATGAATATAATTTTACTGAATGATTTGTTTATTAACTTTATTTTTATGTATATCTAACTAGTTTTTTTTAATTGGGAACACCCACAACGACATAAGAGATCAAAGTCTTTGGAAGGCAAACTAATAAGACAAACTAGTATTCATTGACATCTCTCCTCCATGACCTTTATATAGACCACCGACATTTTCAATCGCATATCATTACATGCAGAATAAGTATTTCTACAAATCCTACCATTATACCCATATTTTATTTACTCATATATTTAACATATATTACGCATGTAAATTTTTTTCATGTAATTTTTTATGTTATTAAATTATATGATCATCCAAAAGATCTAGATTCAAATTTGTTTCAATCTTTAAATGTATTTAATTTTTTCTCTAGTAAACAAAAAAAACAAAAAACAAATTTGAAAATCGATTTAGATCAAACAACATGAATTATTTTTAATATAATAAAACTACATGAATTTATGATGAAATAAAAATAAAGAAAGGAGGCCAACAAATTATCACGAGAATTGAGGTGCATGCAAATATCAAATAAACACAACAGGCATTTCATTATGGTTTGTTCTGGTTTTATCGCAATTAAGGTGTCTGTTGAGTATCATTGGTGCCTCCTGAAGATGCCGGTGGCGTTGCAGATGTTGATGCCTCATCAGCTCGATGATTATCACCCATCTGTTGGTTTTGTGTCGTGAGGAAATCATCAGGCATAGGAATATCATTATATTCCGGTACTTTATCAGATCCCATGGTGGCCACGATCTCATTCTTTGCTGAGACGATTTGCTCTTTTAAATTGTTGAGAATTTTTTTCGTAAGCCAAAGACATACCAACACAACCGGTTACGAGATCCTGTATGCGGGCTTCAGCTTCATAGCTGAGAGCCTTAACAGCATATTCAAGTTGTAAAGGTGAGAAAGTCTCATTGCTCAGTATTTTGTAAACATTTTCGGCTCCAAAAATTCTATGCACACGGTCAAATTTTTCAGGCTCCGTTGATGGAAAATATGGCGCAAAAACGCATTCACCTGTACACACGGATTTGAGGACTTTGCATGCAGAGCAAGGATTGGAAGCCATTCTTCTTCTTTGTATTATCTCTTTTAACCCTAAAAGACACAGATGGATGAAATGAGAAGAAATAACTCTTGAATCTTTATATATAATAAGACTTCAGATTTAGTTATAGACTACATATATATGTTTGTGGTTAAACTGTGAGATATTGAAATTTTTTTTCTAAAACTCCTACTAGCTTTTAGGGAAAAAAAATTCTACGGCTTTAATATAATGTACAGAAAAAAAGATCAAAGTATTGATACTTGACTCAAAGATCACAAAACCAAAATCAAATGAATATGCTAAATGAATTGAATGAAAGACTGAGACTGTTTTTTTTTTTTAAAAAAAAAGGGCCTAGATCGAGACTATTATACCTCGAATATCTTGAAAATGTGACTGATGCCTGTAGTGAGGAAAATAGTCTTGGTTTTTAAGCAATTATATACACTTTGAATTTGTATGTTTAGAGGCAAGTTCAATTATAATAAATGTTTAAATTTTGACTAGTACTTGTTAGATACCTTCCATATTTTCAATTACCATAATGCCATAGAGTAGACTACATACTCTCGTTTTTGGAAAGATAATATCACATCAAACTTTTCTCAAAAAAATAAGATGATAATATCACATTTATCATTCATTAATGTGTACATTTAACTTTTTTTTATTCATAATATATATGACTTTTTATTTTGATTATTTCAATACATCAAAATTTAGAGAGTTAGGGTTTATCTGGTATATCATAGCTGAATAGCAAAATAGTTGAATAAAAAACATACATATAATCAATTGGACGAGAAAACTTAAAACTTAATAAACTTAAATCTCTAAAATACTATTGTTAAAATTATTTTCAAAATTTAAAATTTGCGAGATGGATTGAAAATAATTTGTTAAATTTTATTATTATCATTCTGTTCTTATCACTATAAACAGTATATACTCTACAAAATCATATTTTCAAACAAGAAAAACGTGAAAAAAAAAATCATATTGTTCAACCTCGTAGTTTAATTAATTTTTTATTTGTTTTATAAGATTTGAACATAACTTCATATTATTCGTTTAACCTCATATTAGTTGTTTAAATTCATATTTTGTGTTTTGATTTGTTTTAATTTCTCAACTTCAGGGGCATTTAGGATCTGATTCTTTGAAAAAAATGAGAAAAAGAATATGGTAATAAATAAATATAAAATTTATAGAGGCATAAGGAACATAGATAGAACCAATTGAAAAATTTTGAAAAAAAAAATTGAAAATAGTAAATTGAAAAAAGCATATATAATCACTAGATGGAGATTTCAATGTAAAAAAGTAAAAAACAATGGATTGAAAAAATTATCAGCTACAATCATCAAGGAAAAAAATATAAAATAAATCACAAGAGAAATCAAAAGTTGAACTAAAATATTAGAAGCTTAACTTAAAATCTGTCCCAACTATTAATTCTTATATAAACTATTTAATTTAAATTCAACTGTGTAACAAACATTAAATCATAAGCATAACTTAAATCAAATTTAAATCTAATTTAAAACATCATAAGCATAAGTTAAATCAAATTAAAATTTAAATTAAAAAATCATCAATATATGAATAAAAAATAATACAGATTATAAGTGTGATTTTAATCTTTATTTTTGAACTAATAAATATAATTTAATCTCAGTGCAAAAGAAGAAAAAAAAATATGAGTCAAAATTAAAAATAACAAGCTAAGCAAATTTTAAATATCTAAAGAATAAAAAATAAGAAGAAAACTACAGTACCAAAATTAACGTTCAATAAATAATTGAAAAAATAAAAAATTATAAAAATATAGAAAAAATGACAAAGAGGAAAAAATAATAATACAACAACAAATAAATATACAAAATATTAAAGATATACGTAAAACAAAAATGGAATTAGTGATAAATATATATATATATATATGTGTATGTGTGAAAAAACCTAAAATTCATAATTTGAAAAAGTTAATAAATTAACACTAAATCATGATTTGGATTAAAAAAAACTCGATAAAAACAATGGATGAATAAGCTCATTAAGATATATCAAAAAAATTATAAAATAATATAAGAAATTCAAAGTTGATAGTCTATAATCCCGCAGCGTAGTGCGGGTTCCCTTCTAGGATCTGATAATCACCAACTAAAACTCTAGAGACTTGTGCTGAATCATCACCAACTAATATTCATTTTTTCAAGCCAACATAAAAATTAAACTACCATTTCACAAAAAAAAATCGGACTCATCTCAATATTAATATTGGGTTATAGGCTTATAGCCATGTTCAACTTGCGCCAAAGTGATATTGGCATGAGTAACAACATCACCATTCCTCGACAACAAATTTTTTGACCCAAGTCCCAACTCAAGATGAAATCTTGTTTTTTTACTGTTCATACAAGTTACAACATTATTTTCAGGAACCAAATAATTATCTCCAAATTTTAGATTCTAAATATCGCTTGACCATTCTCCTCCTTACCCAAAAGCGATCAGAGATATAATGACAACTAGAGTTTAAAAGGGGCTTTCTTGTTGAGAATTGAATGTAGAAGTCAGTTAGGACTTTCCATGAATATAATTTTACTGAATGATTTGTTTATTAACTTTATTTTTATGTATATCTAACTAGTTTTTTTTAATTGGGAACACCCACAACGACATAAGAGATCAAAGTCTTTGGAAGGCAAACTAATAAGACAAACTAGTATTCATTGACATCTCTCCTCCATGACCTTTATATAGACCACCGACATTTTCAATCGCATATCATTACATGCAGAATAAGTATTTCTACAAATCCTACCATTATACCCATATTTTATTTACTCATATATTTAACATATATTACGCATGTAAATTTTTTTCATGTAATTTTTTATGTTATTAAATTATATGATCATCCAAAAGATCTAGATTCAAATTTGTTTCAATCTTTAAATGTATTTAATTTTTTCTCTAGTAAACAAAAAAAACAAAAAACAAATTTGAAAATCGATTTAGATCAAACAACATGAATTATTTTTAATATAATAAAACTACATGAATTTATGATGAAATAAAAATAAAGAAAGGAGGACAACAAATTATCACGAGAATTGAGGTGCATGCAAATATCAAATAAACACAACAAGCATTTCATTATGGTTTGTTCTGGTTTTAACGCAATTAAAGTATCTGTTGAGTATCATTGGTGCCTCCTGAAGATGCAGGTGGCGTTGCAGATGTTGATGCCTCATCAGCTCCATGATTATCACCCATCTGTTGGTTTTGTGTCATGAGGAAATCATCAGGCATAGGAATATCATTATATTCCCGTACTTTATCGGATCCCATGGTGGCCACGATCTCATTCTTTGCTGAGATGATTTGCTCTTTTAAATTGTTGAGAATTTTTTTCGTAAGCCAAAGACATACCAACACAACCGGTTACGGGATCCTGTATGCGGGCTTCAGCTTCATAGCTGAGAGCCTTAACAGCATATTCACGTTGTAAAGGTGAGAAAGTCTCATTGCTCAGTATTTTGTAAACATTTTCGGCTCCAAAAATTCTATGCATACGGTCAAATTTTTCAGGCTCCGTCGATGGAAAATATGGCGCAAAAACGCATTCACCTGTACACACAGATTTGAGGACTTTGCATGCAGAGCAAGGATTGGAAGCCATTCTTCTTCTTTGTATTATCTCTTTTAACCCTAAAAGACACAGATGGATGAAATGAGAAGAAATAACTCTTGAATCTTTATATATAATAAGACTTCAAATTTAGTTATAGACTACAAATATATGTTTGTGGTTAAACTGTGAGATATTGAAATTTTTTTTCTAAAACTCCTACTAGCTTTTAGGGAAAAAAAATTCTACGGCTTTAATATAATATACAGAAAAAAAGATCAAAATATTGATACTTGACTCAAAGATCACAAAACCAAAATCAAATGAATATGCTAAATGAATTGAAAGAAAGACTGAGACTGTTTTTTTTTTTAAAAAAAAAAGGGCCTAGATCGAGACTATTATACCTCGAATATCTTGAAAATGTGACTGATGCCTGTAGTGAGGAAAATAGTCTTGGTTTTTAAGCAGTTATATACACTTTGAATTTGTATGTTTAGAGGCAAGTTCAATTATAATAAATGTTTAAATTTTGACTAGTACTTGTTAGATACCTTCCATATTTTCAATTACCATAATGTCATAGAGTAGACTACATACTCTCTTTTTTGGAAAGATAATATCACATCAAACTTTTCTCAAAAAAATAAGATGATAATATCACATTTATCATTCATTAATGTGTACATTTAACTTTTTTTTATTCATAATATATATGACTTTTTATTTTGATTATTTCAATACATCAAAATTTAGAGAGTTAGGGTTTATCTGGTATATCATAGCTGAATAGCAAAATAGTTGAATAAAAAACATACATATAATCAATTGGACGAGAAAACTTAAAACTTAATAAACTTAAATCTCTAAAATACTATTGTTAAAATTATTTTCAAAATTTAAAATTTGCGAGATGGATTGAAAATAATTTGTTAAATTTTATTATTATCACTCTGTTCTTATCACTATAAACAATATATACTCTACAAAATCATATTTTCAAACAAGAAAAACGTGAAAAAAAAAAATCATATTGTTCAACCTCGTAGTTTAATTAATTTTTTATTTGTTTTATAAGATTTGAACATAACTTCATATTATTCGTTTAACCTCATATTAGTTGTTTAAATTCATATTTTGTGTTTTGATTTGTTTTAATTTCTCAACTTCAGGGGCATTTAGGATCTGATTCTTTGAAAAAAATGAGAAAAAGAATATGGTAATAAATAAATATAAAATTTATAGAGGCATAAGGAACATAGATAGAACCAATTGAAAAATTTTGAAAAAAAAAATTGAAAATAGTAAATTGAAAAAAGCATATATAATCACTAGATGGAGATTTCAATGTAAAAAAGTAAAAAACAATGGATTGAAAAAA